AAGGAAAATATTTTTGGATTTTTTGAAAATTATGGGCCGGAACCGATGAGGTTTGCCTACGTATCTCACATCCTGTGAGAATCAGGCCCGCGTAGTTCGCCCAGTTTTGACGGAACAGGAAAACATGACACTTGAAAATTTTGGCTCGTTTTGAAATGACTTTTTTTTCCAGATTTTCAGAATTTTCTAAATACCTACCTCTCACTTTTTGTTTCTTTTTTCTTATTTCTCCTCTTTTTTTTATTTTCTTTTTTTCATTTTCTTTCCCTATTCTAGAAGCCAGTCAACATGCAAGCCGAAACAAACAGATACGCAAGTAGCACGTAAGATGCATCAAGATGGTCTTTTGATTTTTGGGTACACATGTCCTAGACGGACCCAACCCCTATGTTGAGTCTCCAAAGTCAAAATGTACATGATGCAAACAAGCGTTCCTACTAGGGATCCGGCATGAGGCTATGTTATACTAGGTTTAAAAACCTGGGTTTATTTGTTCTAGACTTGGCTTACCCGAGCGGACAACTTGAGCCGAGGTGGGGCAACGTACCGGGAAAAAAGAAGCTTCACCGGCTTTGCAACTTGTCCGAACCTCGTTCTAAAATTTGGGATATGACTCTAACAGAAGAGAAGTCACACGAAGTGCACACTCCTCCATGATTTAGAAGACTTAGAGAGAGGAAGGGTTTCGTAGCAATTTATATACAGTTCATAGAATATCAAAGCGGTAAAAGCAACACTTAGTCCATTAGGTCCAAACATGTAACAAAATCAGATAATGAATAAAGCCAACTATAACAATTCATCTAAGCTCGAATTCTTGAACCCTGAACTAGAGATTCTGGGTTCGATCCCCAGCAGAGTCGCCAGAGCTGTCACACCTCCTTTTTACACACCCGAAGGTAGTATAAGGGAGTTTTTTCAATTTAAGTGACATTATTCGAAATGGGATTAATTATTCATTTTTTGTTCAGAGTCGCCACTTGGGATAGTTTGTTTTTTGGTGTCCCAAATCACCGGTTTATTTTTAAATCCCAAATCGAGGAAGATTTCGGCTTTCCTTTTGAAGTCTGCGAACTAGAAATTCTGAGTAAGGAATTTTGTTAACCCGGGGAAGGTGTTAGGCACCCCCGGATTTCGTGGTTCTAGCACGGTCGCTTAAACTATCATAATTGGCATATTATCTGATCTTAAAACATGTTTTAGCCTATGGTATAATTTTAAATTATGAACTACTTTTAATTAATTTTAAAAAGATTCAACGTTATCTAAAACACGTCTTTGAACTACGCCACATGAAATGGACCCGCGGTCCACGACACATTTTAGTTAACGTTGTTGAGATTTGGATTTGGGTCACATGAAATGCACACCCGAGTTTAAGGAAATTAATTTAAATAGCGCGCCTAAAGCAACTACGCACTTGAATTATTTTCCTAATCTTTGAGATTATTGTGAAGGCTATAAGATTGTGGATATTTATTTTTGTGTTAAGGGCTTGATAATGTTCCTATTATTTTAAAGTATAATTATTTAAAGACATGAAAAATAAACTAGCTACAAGTAGGACCAACTTAACTTAAAATGATTCATTCTCATTATTGTCCAATGAAGAAGGAAAGCAACTTCTCTACTTACTTTACTGAAACATTTCATCTACAGTTAATCCCAAACCCATTAATACTAAATAAATCGCTAACAAGACATATATGAACTTAACTCTACCATATCAATTTTCCAATTCCAACTAGAACGACTCATAAAGTAAAATAATAAAATATTAATAAAACAAAAACATAACCCATTAAGATCTAGCTATTTTCAACGTAGAAGACTTACTACCATTTAATAACTACACAAATTAGCATTCTCATAGAACAACATATAAAAGAAAAGATAATGAAATAGCCAATATCCGTAAAGAGGAAGAACGCACAAGTTAATTTCCTCAAGCTTAATATTAAACATAATGCAAATCACAAGTAGCTTTCACACAAACAGAACCTATAAAAATGAGATTTAAGCATTACATCATCCAATCAAACGAGTTACATGAATGAAATCAAAGTCATACCTCAACGGCCAAGTAAATATCCCAAAATAACCAGATAAAGGCTGAACAGGTGAATCAATGGGACAGGGACAACAGAGCAGTAGCGAACAGCAATTCCATCGGTCTCCTTTCTTTTTTTTCGATAGCTTTAGCTTTTGAATTCCCAAATCTGGGATTTTTGAATTTCGAAAATCATGGTCTTTTTGTGGAAATGGCGTGAGTGAGGGGTGAGGAGGAAGAAGGCTAGAGTTTCTTCAAAAGGAGGGGTTCTATGGTGTTTTTTTTTTTTTTGAGAAATGAAAAATGAAGAAGCCATGATTACTTTTGTTGTTCTTTTTCAGAATGGGGTTATGGGGAGCTCCTTAGAGCTGATGGAAAACGGCGGATTCCTTTTGGTATTAGGTGATAGATACTATTATATAGGGATAGGGATTAGGTTAGGGGTATAGGCCTAGGAAATTGGGCTTGGTAATTATAGATTAGGTCCAAAAATTAGGCCTAAAGATGAGTTGCTCGAGCCCAAGTTTATTCTTTCCTCGCGAACGAGATTAAAATACGATCTCATTTATTAATTAGTCCTACTTAAGTAAAACAAATGTTAAAATTAGACTGACCGTTAAACTAAACTATTTTTTTTTGTATTTTCAAGATTAAAAATGATTACAAAACATTAATGGAACAATTTTTGTAATTTTGATTTTTCTTGTAATAAAATAAAGTAAAAGAGTAAAAATGAGTTGAAATAGCTATATTAGGCCTAAATTAAATATTTACGTGCTAAAATATAAAAAATCTTGGAGATGATCAAAAATCACATGTCTACAATACTAACAAAGTCGTGCTTAATGGATCAAAAGTAGTTAAAGAAATCAATTTGGGAAAACAAAAGTTAACGGAGAGCACAAGAACACAACCAACTCTCAAACAGCACAATTAACAGAGTTTTAATTGAATCGACCAAAAAAGGAGGAGAGGTGGACCAAGAAATGAAGGACGGACTCACCAACTGAAACTCGAACCTGGGGTTTGGGACTCCTAAATGACGTCAAGTACTTTTTTTTTATCATGGAACAACTCTGCATGTACGGGTTTGGGTTTGGCTTTAAAAGCTCGGGTTTCAGATTCAACATTCGACGAGTTCCAAACAGATTCGAGGGGAGCTGGTCACAAACTTGGGAAGAGGAGGTCGAGGAGGCACTAGGGTGTTGATTTGGTGGGGAAAGGTGGGGGCGCCGCCAGGTTAAGGTGGTGGAATTAGGGGCGGCGGGTAGGGTTTCTGTGAGAGAGATGAGAGAGGTAAACAGAGAGGAGGGGCCTGTTCGAACTGAACTGTCTCTATAGGTTTTAGGACAATTTTAAACGAAAATGATGAAATGCTTTGGGTCGTTGGATACAACGAGACGAACGACCATGATTTGTTGAGGTTTAATGAACTCGAAACGACGTAGTTTCACGCTTGTACTACATCGTTTCTTGAGTTTTAGGGACAGAAGGGTTGTGGGTCGGGTATGGGCATGGTTTGGATGTGTTCTTTGTTTAGGCCTAGGGAATTTTAAATAAAAATGGCCCAAACAGACTTCCTATTGAAATTCTTTTCTTTTTTTTTCAATTTCAAATCCTTTTTCTTTTCAAATTAAAATAAAACCTAAATTAATTTTTAAAACCAAATTAACCTACCCAATTAGATTAATCACTCATCATAGTATTTACAATAATTAATTAAATCCTAAATTTAGAGAAAACTATAAAATTCAAAATTAAAGAGTTAAAATGCAAAATGAACTATTTTTGTGATTTTCATATCTTATAAAACAAACTAATTTACTAATTAATCTAAAAAAATGTAAAATTAAATCCTAAATGCAGATGCAGCATATTTTTGTATTATTCATTAATTAAACAAAAATAAAAATGCACAGACCAATGCAAATCATTATCAGAAAATGCCACAAAATCCACAAAAATTGCAAATAATGAAAAGAAATTATTTTGTTTTGAATTTATGGGAGTAATTCATATAGGGCAAAAATCACGTGCTCACAAATACTCTTTTGCTTTTTCACCTTACTACAATATCTCTCACGCTCTATTTTTCTTCACAGACTATTTTCTTATAGTCTATGGAATACCTTGCTCTCTCTCTCACTCAGATATATTGTTTGAGATTTTGGTGTATATACAACTGATGAAATGCTTCCCTATTTATGGGGGGAAAATTGGCTTGCTGATATAAGCAGTGACTCAAGCAAGCACCAAAAATTTCAATGTTTAAAGTGTGAAAGATATTTGGCCGGTTGGCCATATCTGCAAACTTTGGCAATTTACCAAAGGAAGAAGACATCTTCCTTAAAACATGGGGCTGGATCCCACAGGATTTAAAAGTGGCGGGGGCACCACTATCGAATAAAAATTTGAGCAAATGTTGGAGTGGGAATCAAACCCAGACAGCACACGAAAGGTCAAGTTATGCCGCCCCAAATCGACCAATGCAGCTGCCAAGTTTTGAGTTTTAGAGTACCAATTAAAATATATACCTATTATTTAAGATATATACATATATGTACATACATTTTTTCCTAAATTACCGGGGGCGGTGACCCTCCTATCCTAAAGGTAGGTCCGTCTCTGGCTGTTCCAATGGTGGAAGCAATGGCAGCTTTGGTGCTTGTTGACCAGTTGATGGCTCAATATGCACAATGTATACTATTTCTAGTCAATCCTGCCTTGAGAGTTATATTGTTCGACAAAGATAGGTGTATAGTTTTTACATCATTGTATGTACATCACCAAAATGATGCAGTTGTATTTAGGTAAAGCTATCAGGGGAGATATCACTTTCAGCAGATAATGAGAAATAAAATGTACCAATTGGCAATAGCAAAGTAGCAGTGTTAGAAAATTCACTAGAATGAAAAAAGGGGTATGCATTTGATTGGAGTGGAAGTAAAATGAATGCCAATGAAAAAACATAAATCTGTCTTGTACAAAAGAAGGAAAGATGAAATTACGCTCATGCGAAAATGAATAAGCAAGCAAAAAACTAGCTAGTTATCAACTATACAAGAAAATTTTTATATCTGTCAATAAATAACCTTCTATTTTTGAAGGTGCTCAGTCTTCCACTTAGAAAATCTGTGTTCTCTTTACTTCATTTGGTTGCTACACATGCATTCACTCTTAATAGGGGACCGTTTGGCTCTTTTCCTTTTCCAACAATGATTCTCTTAAATCTTCCTTAGTCAGGTGCCAATATATTGTTGATCACTGCCTGAGATTCATTTGTTCCGCGAAGTCCTTAGTTTTGGCGCGTCACTCTTTTTTGTCTTCAAAAGCTGGTACGACCTGATGCTTCTTGGGCGATTTGGGAGTCTCTTTACTTTTGGATGACTCTAATTTGTGTGCTGAAGTTGTGAAATCTTGATGTTCTTTGGATGTGCTCAGAGACTCTCCACTTTTTTCAGGTGATTTCGAGACCTTATTTTCTGTTAGAGGTCCCGGGCTCCTATTTTTAACTGCATTCTCACAGTGTTCATTAGTTGATGAATCCATTTGAACTGTCGGTTCCACGACATTCTCTGGATTGACAATTGACTCTATTTTGTTGTGTGAAGCTGTGGAATCATTCTGACTCTTTGATAAGTCAGAAGACCGCTCTTCATTATGAGACAAGTCCATAGAACAATTTTTCTTGGTAGATAGATCAGTGATGTCTTCTTTTTCGTCGTTCAACTCAGCACCCTCGGCATTGACCTCTGTATCTTCTTCAACTTCTAAGGGTCCGAGCTTTGTGTCAATACTCTTGATCGCGACAGTTAATGATCTTGCATCACGAGCAGTTGCCAGCCGTCCAGGTGACGATGCCTGTTTTTGAAGAAAAGAAGATACAGTCAAACCTCTCTATAACAGCCTCGTTTGTTCTAGAATTGTTTGGTTGTTATAGCGAAGTGTTGTTATAGAGAACATATATTATAACATAGCACAGAAATTGTTTCCAAAAGAAACTTGGCTTTTATAGTGAATGGTTGTTATATAGTGATATTGTTATAGAGAGGTCTGACAACCACGTTAAGAGCTATACATTTCCTACGCGTCGTTGAAGATTTAAGTTCCAAAGATAAGCAGCAGTAAAATAACTGACCTCCAACAATTGTTCAGTCCTTTTCTTCAAAGCCTCAAAAGATGCATCCTTGTGAATAAGTTTTAAGATGCAGATTAAGTGCGACTGCAGATTCTCGAGACGATGTTGGTCCGTTGTGCATTGAGGAATAGTAGATACACATCCTACTGGATAGAAAGGGCAGTTAACAAGTTTCATTGGACATACAGTTATACAATGCCTGTCCATTTCGCGCCTCATGAGCGTTTCCGGGCATTTCTGCTCACATTGAAGTGTTTTAAAAGGACAAGTCGAGTCGTGCAGTTCCAACTGAGCTGCACTAAATCGCGCATTACATCCCTCATTTTCACAGTTCAATTCCCTGAAACTGCACATGGCGATATGTTCTGAAACCTCTTCTTCAGATTTAAACTTCATATTGCAGTGGTAATTGCCCTTAAAGTCAATATTCCTTATCAATGTTTGCGCCACTGCTATCCGCCTTTCCATCAACCAAAAGCCGTTTACTTCCATTTCTTGTACGAAATCGTCTATCCTTTCCTCTCTCCTTTCACTTAGCAACCATGCTGATACTCTGCTGAAAAAATTCCTCTTAGACTGCCCAAAATCATCAATAAAATCTGATATAATATCATGAGGATTATCCGACAGTACTTCAGTAACCGCGTCACCTTCTAAGACAACAGATTCAGCAACAAACATCTCGCTTCTCCGGACAAGATAGTCCACCATTTCTCTTCTAATATTAACAGCAACAGAAGCGGGGCTATTCAATAGACCGCCAGTCGTGTTGTCAATACAGGCTGAGGCTAATCCTGGAAGGAATTCGTCCGCTACCTTCTGAACCATTTCTGCATCACATAGATTACATTGGAAGAGTGGACCGTCCTCTTTCACTTCCTCAATTGTCGCTGATTTGACTTCCTCCTCCAATTTCACGTCTTCAAGTGCTGCTGTTTTGATTTTCCCTTCATCTGTAGGATGATCCGTGTCCAAAGAAGCTCCCGACATGTTCAATGAGACGGTAAACTGCAGTCACAAATGACATTTTATGATTAATATTACAGATACTAAAAAGGGCAGCTCGGTGCACTAAACTCTGCTGCGCAGGGTCCGGGGAAGGGCCGGACCGCAATGGTCTATTGTACGCAATCTTACCCTACATTAATGCAAGAGGTTGTTTCCACGGCTCAAACCCATGACCTCTTGTCCACATGACAGCAAATTTATCAGTTACGCCAAGACTCCCCTTCTAATATTACAGATTCTAAAAATGAACATAAGTAAACCCCATAAACAAAAATAAGACTTCAAAAGCATGACAAGGTGATTTTGGCTGGTAGATAACTAACCACAGATACTGAAAATGAATATAAGGAAAGTGCTAGCTATGGACTGGCTAATCCAACAGAAAAATAACTGAGATAAATACTCAAAGCTGCAATACACAAAATGCTATAACTGAATTGAATGATGAAATATAAGCCATAAAACTAAAATGGCACAAAACCACTAAAACTTCAACAAATAGTTCATAATTTCAAAAGTACCATTTGGTCACTGCTAACAAGTATAAAAATTGAACCCATCAAATTTAACTCCGGCTCTACCTTTGCTTCCAAACCGGTGCTACGGCTATATGAGAGTTTTCTTTGATGGGAACTTCAATGTTTTCTTCCCCTTTTAATCATTTTCCTTAAACTCAAATCAGGCAATTGCATCCAGAGGCGGACATATGCAATACAGAGGGGGTCATCGGCACCCGTAAAGTTCAGCAAAAATTCCATGTATACATGTATGTCTTTAGAAAATAGTGATATATTAGTAGTGAGCACCCCATATTCAAATCAGATTTTGGTTGAATCCAAAAGTGCACCCGTAACTTTCAAATTCTGGGTCCGTCTATGATTGCATCACATCTTTGCTCAGGTATTTATCATGGTGAGAATATTAATTTTACCTCCATTAGATGAAAGAAAAGTGATACTAGTATTGTCAATTGTGGTACACAACAAGGGCGAAGGTAGCCTTTCGGCTACAGGTTCAACTGAACCCATAATTTTCGACACGAAGTATAAATTTAGATGTAAAAACCTACTATAATAATTTCAATAATATTAGATTTGAACCTATAATTCTAACAGTACAGTGACTGCAATTCTGAAAATCTTAAAAGCTGAACCCATTAAATTTAAATCTTGGATCAGCCTCTACTACCAAATATTAATCCACATTGAGCATTTCCAAGTTTAGACATAATAAACCAAAGAATCCAACGCCACACCATCAAAATTTTGTAAATAATCACAAACTAAGCATTAAAAAAATCACGCCATTTAAATCAAGCCATCTATTCTAGCACATAAAGGAAGGAGGTAATGATCTCCTTAAAAGAAAATGTCCACACAGAGTTATCCCGTGTTATTTCTAATATCTCCTGTCTTATTTTTGGCTAATCTCCTATTAAAAAGTCATAAAACTAAAATAACATTTGTAATGGACAATCAGGGGCGAAGCTACATATCTTAAAGTGTGACAATTGCACACTCTTCGTCGAAAAATTATACTGCGTACATTAGGTGAAATATTAGGTTTAGAGGTATATATTCAGAGGCGGACCTATGCTATACAAATAGGGGTCACCGTCACCCGTAAAGTTTGGCAAAAATTCTATGTGTATATATATCTTTAGAAAATAGTGATATATTACTAGTGGGCACCCTATATGCAATCCAAAAGTGCACCCACGACCTTCAAATCTTACGTCCGCCTCTGTTAATATATCATATATTAAACAACCTTTGTCGGAAATTTTTTTTCCGACTTCTTTCAGGTTTGAACAACCTTAAGGAAATTCCTAGTTTCGCCACTGACTACAATATCACGCGATAGGAAGTGACAATCACATAGAGAGAAAGGAACAAAGAGATCACCTCTAGCCTTTCGTTTGTAAGATTGGATCGGACGTGAAAATCTTGGAATCCATTAAATTGGTATCAATTCATACCTATATAAATAGCCATCCAGATTCCAAAAATGAGCTCAAATTACTTTCATGAAAAGCTAAAATGCAAACATAAAGGCATTAAAAATGTGAAGTAATGACAACAAATTTTATTGGAACAAAAAAAAAAGATGATAAAAGAATTCAGGAATAACATTTGAATACCTCCAAATCTTGTGGATCGTGTGCTTTTGTTTTCGCCTGTTGTTTTCATTCAGTTAGCTATAACCGTTAATGTGAAAAGTAGAGAGCCCTCAAGTTTCTTAGAAGGGAAAATGTCCAAATTTACCCCCCAACTTTCGAATATTGTCTACATTTAACACCCGTTATACTATTCGGCCAAATTTAATCCCTATTCGGCCGAATAGTATAACGAAGGTTATATGTAGATAATATTTGAAAGTAGATGGATAAATTTGGACCTTTTTTCCCAAAAAAAAAGAACTTTTCAATATATTATTAATGTCAAATTTCTTTAGTAAGGCTGAATGTAGGTTTGGCGATCTCAATAACAATTGTACAAAATAATATGAGTATATTAAAAATTTATTAAATATGTACAAATAATAAATTTAGAACCGAATCAGAACACATACTCCGCCTATGCCCTCCGTCCACATCATCTGAATATTCAGTCATTGTAATTAAGTAAAAATGAAAATCTCTGATATTATACACTAATAAACCATGGTCGATAATAGTCGTTTTCTAACATGTATTTGGTTTTCCTTCGTTCTCCATATCCATTTTCTCAACTCCACCGTTACCTTTGGAAGAATTAAATTCCTTTTTTTTTTACCCAATGGTCGTCCTTGTTAATGCACCCTCAATTTGTTATTTTTTTTCAACCTTCCTATTTTGCAGTTAATGCGATACCATTGCAAATACTAAGAGGTTCTATGTTAATCAATTCTTCGAAAATATATTTTATTACTTTTAATGATAATATATATTCCCTCCATTTATTTTTAATTGTTTACTATATTAAAAATACATTTTCGCTTTTACTTGTCCATAATGCCAATTAATTGTCTACTATACTAAAAATATATTTTCGCTTTTACTTGTCCATATTGCCAAATCAAGAGAAAGACAACTTTTTTTTTGTTTTACCCTTAACATTAATTATTTATTTCCAAATTTATTTTCCAGAACTTTTTGAAATGCTATCGTTATTAGGGGTTATATGATAAGATATATACTACAATTATTATTTCATAAGAGACGTGAAAAGTCTAAAGTGGACAAGTAAAAGTAAACCGAACAATCTCGGGCTCTATGTTTGTTGTTACGCCTCTATAAATATGCAAATATCATTCCCAAGCTAGTAATAAAAGAGGCAATAGTAACTTAAATGAGAAATCGAGGAATTTCAAATCTAAATCAATCATTTGATCAAACGAAAAAAGTACTTGGGCCTCAGAGGCAGCGGCTGGGAAAGCGAAGGGAATAGGAAAACCAGGAACGAAGTCACTCGACCAAAAGAAGGTCTTATTTGAGTTCCAGTGAGTGCTTTCTAAGAAGGGCTTGGAAGAAGAAAATGAAATAGGAACAACCACATTGGTCGTAATAGATCGACTTTCATGCTAGTTCTTGCTCCAGCATAAATGTTTCATTTCACGGAAGGACGACGTACTATGATACTTTCAATTTTGTCGAGCCCTGCTTTGGTAGTCGCTTTTTTTCGGTATACCACTCCGCTCGCAGAGCGAATGAACATAAGTCAAACTGAATATGAGGAGGAAAGTGAGATCATTGTCCGATCTTTATCGTAAACATACAATAAAGACAGTGCTAACATACTACAACCATTAGTAGGTTAATTAGTACGGTCCTTCTTTTATTTGTTTGTTTGAAAGTAATGAAATAAAGAAAGAGTCCTTGAATTAGTTAATGAATAACGGTACAATGCAATAATAATAAGTATGCCTCAAATTCAAACAAAGTTGAGATCGGCTATATAAATCCTCACTAATCCTATAATAATAACTATGCCTCAGTCCCAAATAAATTGAGATTGGCTACATAAATCCCCACTAATCTGTTTAAGCTCAACTCATGTTATCATCGTACAAAATAAAATAAACCCTAAGAACGCTACAATGCAAACACCATAAATATAATGCCCACTGAAACACCTACAACTTTTTATTCCCAAAAACAAAAGGCAGAGAAGGATTAGTGAACTAATTAATTAAGAGTCATGAAAATGGCACTTAATTAATTAACAAGACCTAGTGCAAAAGCACTTCCTTTGCCAGCCAATGCAGTCCCCGCCGGTGAAGCCTTCGCCACGGCACACTTCAGCGCAGTTATGGTCACCCAGGCAAGGCCCTTTGTACTTATGGCTTTGCGAGATGCACACTCTTCCCTCCACTCGTGGGATTGCCATTTCTGCAACCATATATTTAAATTTTATACACGGACAGTATACTGAAATTTTACATTATCAGTTCAGACGTTTAACCAGTTATAGATGGTTGTTACTCTATTTTTCTTGTTATCGTATCAAATTTATTATGAAGAGTTATATGTTATTATAGTCAATTATTTACCATGCATATTGTGTAAAAAATTTAAAGTTTAAGTTATATACACCGTTATTGTATATAATTTACATCATCATGTTACATTTTAAGGTGATTTACCTATAAATATCTTTTGGGGTGACCTGATAGTGTAAAAAATTCTATTTATTGACCATGTATATATCATTTAAACTCAAAATCTATCATTGTTAGTGTCCGGAACTTAAACTGAAAAATAAAGCTATACGTAAATTCTTCTATTAGAAGTGTTAGATATCCAAAGGTGTGATCAAAATTTAGTCTTTAAATCGAGCTAAAAATCGAAAGATTATAAGCATTTTAAACTAAGATCGATTATAAGCATTGCTCCTCTATCTGTTCCTAAATATCAGTTCATATAAAAAAGAAAGGCGAAAAGAAAAGACTTACGTGAGGCGAACAAAATGAGAAGGCAAAACAAAAGACCAGAAATTTTCCTCTCCATATTTTGTTATCCTTTTTTCACCGACTCTGTAAATAAACTCACACTGATTTCTTCGAATTATTCGGATGTGACTCTTAAGACAAATGAAGATCACTATAAGTAGAAAAATTGAAGCACCAGTGGCATAATGTTACTGTCCTCGTGTAGTAAAAACAAAAAACAAAATTTACTCTTTAGATTATTTAATGCCATCTCGTTTAAGCAAATAGAAAAAAAAAAAAAAAAAGCACTTTTACGCAACCTCGAAAAGATAGAAGTGCATGGTGCTATCATATTGTGCACACAATTTGAAATTTTATTTGTCTATCCTCGGTAAAAAATATTTACACAATTTAATCAATTATAAGTTAATTATAAATAAATCTTTATAATAAACATTAAATGTTATTTTAATAAAAATGGGTGACTGATGTGCTATCACAAATGAAACTGAATTACAAGTGTAAAAAATATTAATCATGTAAGTGTATATATGTAACTTAAATCTTCTCACAAAACAATGCTTTCAATTGTGTTCTTTCTCGTGCCACACTTAAACGAGGTGAAGAAACATCATAATTCTTTTTAATACTCTTTTCCATTTTATTTGATTATTAAATCTTGAGAAAACATCACACATTTAATAATTTATTTTTCTTATGTTATTTCTAGAGTCTTACATTTGGTTTTCACCTAATCCTCCCTCGCACAGTTATAAGTAAAAGAATATAAGTTTGAAGTGTGATTACGTTTTATGACTGATATTATGCCAACAATAAGATACCAGTAGACAAAAAATGCAGCTGTTACAAACCGCTATATTGTCGCATTAATTTGAAAAATTAGTTCAAAATATTTTATGTTTTCTCCAAGAAATGTTTTTATTAGGTTTCTTGGATTTTGAACAAACTCCATCTTAGCGACTTAAGAAAGGATAGGCCTAAATAATCTTCGTTAGAGTTTTTGGCAAAAATCATCCTTAAAGTATGACACAAAGTGAGAGTACATTCTTGTTTTATCCCACTAAACAAAAATTATCCCCATATTATTTAAAGTGTTGCAACAATCATTCCTCCGTTAAATTTTATCACAAAACTAACCGCATCCACCAAAAGGGCATGCCCATCATATGAAATTTTCCAAGATTGCCCCTTTTGCCCAATTGTTTTTTCCAAGCATGTGATGGCCATCTTTTTCCAACTTTTGCACTTGTCACGATCCGGATTTCCCATTATCGGGTGTCGTGATGGCGCCTACTATCGGAGCTAGGCAAGCCAAATATTTAAAACACTTTTCCTGCTTTCTTTCAAACAATATAATAACGAGACAAAATCTAAGCGAAAGACTTTAAATCTAAAGCAACTGAAAACCAAAGTGCGGAAGTTTAATACACATCACTACCCAAGGTCTGGTGTCACTAGCTCACGGACTACTACAGAATACTACAATCAATGTCTGAAGGGAAAATACATCATGTTTGTCTGATACAAGATAAACAAACAAAGAAAAACATGGAAAGGGACTTCGGCCTGCGAACGCCAGCTAGGCTACCTCGAGAGTCCCTGGACTGAAGATAACTCCCAGAAGTCCTACTGCTGCGGTCCGTAAGCTGCTCCCTGATCTATGCACCAAAAATGCACAAAGTGTAGCATCAGCACAACCGACCCCATGTGTTGGTAAGTGCCTGGCCTAACCCTGGCGAAGTAGTGACGAGGCTAGACAGTACCTACCACAATTAACCTGTACAGATATATATACAGATATATATATATACAACACGTGCAAGGAAACAATAACAAGATAATACAAAGTAAAACTGGGAGGGGACATGCTATCGGGGAGTAACAGATAAAAAAATGAAATATCGGAAATAAGACGAAGAGACTTCGGTTCCCATGATGTATATATATATAAGTGGACGGCGTGCCACACGATCCCATAATATCATAT